GCAGCAAAATCACACGGAAAGCTTATTTTGAAGGACTGTAAATTTTGAAAAATGCCTTTAATTCTTTAAAAGTGGGCATCAAGACATTACCCGGGTCATTAATTTAAGTTCCTGGAAGATCTTTGGACTAAACTCAAAATTCAAGGGATACAAGGCCCAAAAGTAGGGCACTTTGCTCTGCGACATCACACAGACAGCTCATTTTCAAGGACTGTAAATTTTAAAAAATGCCTTTAGTTCTTTGAAAGTTGGCATAGAAGCACCACCTGGGTCATTAATTTACGTTCCTAAGAGATCTTTGGACTAAACTAAAAATTGAAGGGTTACGCGTCATATGGCGATGAGAGCACTTTGATCACACAGAGAGCTCACTTTCACGGACTGTAGATTTTGAAAAAACGCCTTTCAATTCTTTGAAAGTTGGCAGGAAAGCACCACCTGAGTCATTAATTTAAGTTCCTAAAGGATCCTCGGACTAATCTCATAATTGCAGAGGGGCCGATAGCAAACGCTCAATTCTCCGATAAATGAGTCGGAACGCTCCTGGGTATGAGCAGCAAACGCTTTGAGTCAGGTGTAACCCAGGAATTCCAATCTATATAAATAAAATCGTTGGGGGTTTCACTGTAACGCTTATTTTTGGAGTTCTACCGGACCGATTTCGACGATGCTTGACTCTGGTGAAAGCCCTTGACGTCCCGATGTCCGCAAAACTTTCAGACTTCCAAATTTTTCAGCCTCTTTCGCTTGAGACGCTCTTGAAGCCAAATCCACCCCCCTCCGACCTTAAGTTTCCGAGAGTTGCGGTATGTTTCCGTTGTAACGCCTAATTTGAGACATCTACCGGGGCGATTTTTACGATTTTTGGGTCGACTGCAAGCTTCTAGCTTCCAGATGCTCGCAAAACTGTCAGACTTCCAAATTTTTCAGACTCCTCTTCCTGAGACGCTCTTAAAGCCAAATCTACCCCCCTCCGGCCTTAAGTTCTCGGGAATTGGTGTATGTTCCTGTTGTAACGCCTATTTTGAGAGATCTACCGGGGCGATTTTTACGATTTTTGGGTCGATTGAAAGCTTCTAGCTCCTAGATGCTCGCAAAACTATGAGAATTTCCAATTTTTCAGCCACATCTGTGTAAACCGCTGAGAGATGCAAATAGACCCCTCTCCATATTACTACTACACAGCCTTCACCCAACGCCGAAGGTCAAACTCGGACTCTGTCTCAGCACTGCTCTGTCTGAATAAAAGGAAGCCGCCCCAGCTACGTGGTTCCATAAAACTGTCGAAGCGGCGCGATGACATGGGTTTTCCCGTCCTTTTTGTCTAACAACCCTCGAGACCGAGGCTGCCCGCTACGGGATTGCAGCCCTATTGTCTCATATGCCAAACAAAATCTGACCCTCAAAATTTAAAGACAGTAAAAATGCAATTTTTTCTCTCATTCGGAAATTGTTTTTACAGTGTACATTTTTCGATTCGCGGTGAAATTTTGAGCAGAATGGTGGTCAAACTAATGAAAATACATGATTCTACGGTACACTAAGATCGATACCACAACTGCTGCACTTATAACTTGCTGAACGATATTTCCGTTACTTATCAACATATCACGACGAAATTTAGTTCATTGTAATATACTTTTTTAGCAGAGCGTAAATTTACTGAGAAAGTTGAAATCGAACCCGATGAGAGAAATTTCATCAATTTTTTTGGAGCTCCACTAGGCCGAGCAGGAAGGGAAAAAAGGATGACGAATTGAGATCTATTGCTGTCGCCTGGTCTCCTGACTCCTGACTCATGTCCAGGCCCAGCTATTCTTGAACGCTTTGACGAGATTTTGTCGGCAGACAAGTCAAAACATGTTTTTCCGACCAGGGAGCGACATCCAAACCTCGCGCTAATGCTCTCATTGTATTTTTATTGGAGTTATGTCCGAATATTTTGAAAAAAGCCGAAAATGGTCTCTTTTTTTAAAGCGCAGTGTTTGCAATTCTGCCCTGCTACGGAAGAACGACATATGAACATTCGAGAGTTGCCAAATTTTCTTCGATAAAATGTTTATTTTTGAGGAAAATTATGAATATTTTCCCCATGAAATTTTCAGACGTTTTAGATCAAATTAAAAACAAAATTATCCAAGAAATTGGTAGACAAGCATTCAAAAATTTTCCTGAAATTAAGTGGTTTTCCAGGGGAAATTTGGCAACGTCTGAAGACTCATACGGCGTTCTTCCTTACCACTGCAGAATTATGTTCGTCCCTCCCGTTACCCCTACATCAGCCACCTTTATCGAAGAGCAAAGGAAAACCGTGGGAAAAACAGGAAACAAAATGTTTTCAGGACTGAATTGCTTCCTTTGAATTGCTTCCTCTGAGTTGCTCCGAAAATCAGTCTATTCGTGTACGCTGCCAACTTAGCAGCATCCTGCATCTCGAGAGCAACACTGATTAGACTTCGAAATCTCGCGACTTTTTGAGAGGTTGCCCATCGCTCATCTGCTTTCGTCGGATACGTTCTTTTACGGTTATGTTAGTTGATCAATGGGTACTTAACAATATCTGCTCAATTTTTCTTTCTTTTTTCACGGAACAGTTCCGATTTGTGAGTGTCCGATACTGAGTGATACTATTTTGCCTCTGTATTCGCGAGATACGTTCTTTTGCGGCCGCGCCAGTCGATAAATGGATGTTTAGCAATTTCTATTCATACTTTCTTTCCTTTCTTTTTTTTTACGGAATATCCTCGGTTTTTTAGTGTCCAACCCAGTGCGAGGCTATTGTACACCTGTTTTCGCCAGAGACGTTCTACACAATTTCTACTCATATTTTCTGGGTGCAAATGTGCGAGATTGTTGCGTCCTGTGCATGAAGTTTGTCTCTTTTTAGTGCGTATACTAATTAATGAGTCTAATAATTTACACATTCAAACAATTCACTCGAATTTTTTACGCAGAATGTTCCTTGAATAGTAGCTAACGACTAGGAGGAGTAACTCCAAATTTACATGTATTTTGCCGGTCAGTGCCGAGTAACCGAAAATCCTTCTTTTGTAAGGTAATACGTTTTGTACCCCGTTCGTTCATACATTTGCGCGAAATTCATTTGAAAATACACTCATTCATATGATGGCCAAATGCATGAGATGCTTTTTTTTAATGTAACATTCGAAATTGTCTCTTTTCTTAAGTCCTAAACTTCTCTACTACTGGCGCCACCCGACGTATGATTGTTTAAGTCTGTGGCTTTGGCTGGAGACCTGGAGGACGCCAGTGAGCTACTCCTCCTGGCCAATAACAAGTGCGCAGGGCTTACATTGTCATATTCTGGAGGGACTTCGCCTTATTTAACTTACAGTTAAGGCCCCCCCCCCCCGAAGAAAAATCCCTTACAGGAAAACTATCCATAATGCTTCTTGGCAATTATAATATATAATCGTATCTGAAGTATGATGTCAATGAATCTAATGGAACCTAATGAATCGTAGAAAAGCTGAGAGTTTTAAGGATCGCCGTCTTCAATAGGAGGCATCATTAATCAATTATTTAATTGAAGATGCCTCATACCATCAACAAGTCCATTCCGAATATATGAATTCATCACATATCGCGAAGATATTTACAATAAAGTCTAGTGGTTTGAATAAATCTTTCATAACTATTATCCTGTAATCGAAATTCCAATCAAACTTTATGATTTTTGAAATTGGCAGTATTTTTCTAAACATTCCAGCAAAAGTTTCTATACCGGCGCGCCGGCAAAAGCGAGAAAGTCTTATGCGATCCTCGCACCATGACATGCCGGCGCGAAGCGCCGGTACGCGGCGCTTGCGCCGCGCATAAATTTGCCGGAGGCCAATTTTTATGTCAACTGTGTTCTAATAGCGAACCGTATACTGAATAAGTATAGTTTTTTCATGAACTGACGGTTTACTCTAATTTCCTATTCTTTCAATATGTTCTAATTATTTCACTTTGAAATAACTGCACAATAATCAGTTATAAAAGAGCATAATTTTATTGTACCCGATACTTCTCCCTTGATGTTGATGTGATGTAATCTTTGCGTCAACGAATCGATAGCATTATGGTCAAAATCGAATTCTACGATAAAAATACTTCAGATTATGTGAAATTTAACTTGGAATTTTGGAAAAGAGAGTGACACGGTTGAAAGAAACTGGAGAGGAAATGTATGAAAACACCTTGGTTCCTACAATCCTGAGCAATACTTCTTAAAAACACCCGAAAATATGCATTTCCGTGTGAAAATCGGCCAAACTGAGGTCAAAATCGGATTCTGCGATGAAATTGCTTGGGGAGCCATATAACCTGACCTGAAACTCCATAAAGATCGAAGGATATAGCGGGGAAAAGTTGCGGAGGAAGTCCATGACCGGGCAATCCTATGTTTCGTTACAGTGTGCGTAATCTTGAAAGGAGGCCAGATTGATCCCGTTCCTATATCTGGTCTTAATCTTTAGTAAAAATATATTCAGAAAAATTAGCCAAATGGACAGATTTCTGAAATAATGAAAAAGATTATGCCAGATCCAATAATGTAGTTAATTTTTAAAGACCCATTAAGCTCCTAGTGTCTCTCGTTGCACGCGCCTTTCTTGGATGTTTTGCGGCTTTTGTAGTGCATATACGGCCAAACGGACGACATTTTTTATCTTTAGGTCCGTAACTCCGCGTTTTCCATGGAGAAACATGTCATTTTATCTATAAACCTCAGATTTCAACCCGCATCACTTAAAGTCGTTTGAGCACCTGGTAAAAATGGTTTTAAATTTTTTTCCTTGCATGAGGCTCCAAATCTATCCACACATCAACTTTTAAGACCAGGACCTCCTCCGAAATCCGAAAATTTAAAAAATAAGAAACACCCTACCCCTCCCCCCTTATTAAATCCCCCTTGGGAAGAAATAAAGTATCTTATCTCTCTCTCTCTATCTATTCGCCAAATCAATCAAATTACATTTTTTTTAAATGATCAACAGGGTTCCTATCGTAAATTAGGAGGGAAAGTACCTGCAAAAGCTTCCGTGTTATCAGTCAAAGCAGGAACATCAAGTTTCTGTCTAGCAAGTAGTGGAGATTATGAATTCGCATTCAGTGGCTGTCATGGATATGAATCTAATATTATTGAATGGAAAAGTGGATCTGGTCCGTTGACCATCAAAGCTATCAATCACGCTAATAAAATTCAAATCATTAGCTCAGACAAGACAGAAGATCTTTACATGAATGTTAATTACATTGCAGAAAACAAGATCATCAAGACAACAAGGTTTGTACTGTGATGCTCCTTATATTCTAAATGCTTACCGGTGTAATAAAATATTGCATACATTTCTTGGTCGACCATTTTATAGACTGAGTGTTCATCTAAAAATTACCTTGAATAAAGATTCAAAGCTTTCATCATTAAGTTCTCTCCTTTTTTCCCCCTTTTTTTTCTGTAAATAAATGAAAAATAATCAGGATCGAATTTAGACTAGTGAGTTTCTCCAGACCTAGGAAGGAGGAAAAAGGATTGGATGAAAAGAGTTCTGGAGCCTTCAAAATATCTTAAGAAGAAGTATTTTGATAAGGAAATGCTATAATGAAGCTATCAGAACCGATCACAACACATGTATTTCACACGTGGACCTTAAACAAATAACACTGCACATACGCACACCTACACACCTACACACACACACACACACACACCCTCACACACACACACACACCAACATACACACACCAACACACCCTCACCCATGCAAGTCCCCACCTTCACATATAGAGCCAACACACACGCTTTGAACTGTGCACTTGCAGGCACTTTAGAAGTCCTGCTAGTCGTAGCAACTTCACGTTTTTCAATGGACTTTTGTTTAAACCAGGAACCCATGACGATGCTAAATTAAACTTGGCGGATTTGACAAAAAATCTCCACTTCGTAAGGGAGGAAATGATGTTAGCTTTTCAATGCTCTCTAACTCCCTTCACATTCACAATTGATACGAAGCTATAATCACGTTGAGTGCACGTTGGCGAAATTATCCAACACTTGAAACAATCACGTTGAGTGCACGTTGGCGAAATTATCCAACACTTGAAACAATCACGTTGAGTGCACGTTGGCGAAATTATCCAACACTTGAAACAATGGGCCTGTTGCAAAATTTTGCTAGAGCAAAAATAAGAGTTGTTACTCATAGGAAGTGTATCATAAATCACGATGAGCGCATCGACAAAGTCTGAAATGCAGTCCTTACTTCACCGTTTGCATTAGAAATCTGCGTTTTTTTGAGCTTCTCGCTTCAAAAAGGATATTACAGCACAGGTGAACATTTCGTTAGAGGAGTCATTCCATCCAACCCCTGCTCATTGATTGACCTTGTGCTCTCCTCAACTTGCGCGCGAAAACGTCGGCCATGTTGAGCAGGGATCGAAGGAACGACTCCTCTAACGATTTATTTACCTGTGCTGTAGTAGGTATCCTTTTCGAAGCGGGAAGCTTATAAAAACGCAAATTTCTTACGCAGATTGTGAAGTTAGGGGTGCATTTCAGAGTTTGCCGATGGGCTCATCGTGATTTTTGAGACAAAATCTATAAGGAACAACTCTTATTATTGCTCTAGCAAAAGTTTGCGACAGGCCCATTCGAGCGTTTCTGCTCATTCGGTTGTGCTATAACCACTTTACCATGTAACATAGCTCTATAAAACTCTGGTCAGTGGGTCAGTTGCGCTGGTCTCAGAATCGTGTTTCAATGCTTGATTCTTATGGATTAGCTGAAAATAATAAGATCCGTCTATTAGCAACTTCCTGCGTTCAGTATTAACTGAGATATCGTGCTTTGACAAGTCGGGTTTTTGATGTCATCCACCAAGGGTGTCACTACCGTGGTGTAGTGACACCCTTGGTTTCTCCCTCTTTTGTTGGATCAGTGATGCAGAGGGCGCAACGCGAAACTTCAACGATGTGAAACATAAACAAACTCAAGAAACAAACAGATTTGCACTTCATAGATCATCTTATCAGGAGATGTTGCACTCACAGCGAAGAGATTAGGCGGTCAGTCAGTTCATCTCAGTTTCAAGTTCAACGAACTTTGTAAAAACAATATCCAAAGGTAGTAGCACTGATTTATGTATATTGAAATGCAGGTAGCCTTACGAGAGGGTAGAGGGGCTAGTAGTGGCTGAGCCTTACGTAAGCTCTCTAACCTATATTTATAGAAAAAGTAAAAATCCATCTTTTGTCAGGTTAATAACAAAATTCAAGATGAAATAGAGGGAATCAGCACATCACCGATTGCTGACCGATCGGACCATGCTCCCGTCATTTCTCTTGATTTACACTTCTCCACTCCGTGGTATGATGAGTAGTGGTTTCATCCTTATGTTAACTTTATACTATTAACTATTCAAAAGACCCAAAAAACCTTCAATTTTACTCCACGCACTTTTGTTTATTAAACTAATGGTATCATTAATATTTCCTATGAACTTACTTCAAAAATTTAGTTTCACTACTAAAAATTTTGGCCTGAAAGTGTCATTGTTCTTCTAAAAGAAAGCGTAATGCTTTAATCTGTGATAATTGAAAAAAAAGGGGGGGGGGATCCGTCAGTCGAGCCTCATGTAATTTTTAGAGTGGGTGAGGGATGCCTTACTGTGCCCTACAAGGGAGGGGAGGGGGGTCTAAAAACGGGAAAAAGTGCCTTATGTAATATTCATGGATGACCCTCAAGTGGACTGAAAAATACTCTATGTGACATTGCATGTGTTGCAGCATGTTTATGGCTGTTAGAGTTTTTTTGAATGAAAAGGGATTATACTATTTGTGGTTGTAGGCTTACAAAATATTCTGAATTACATGAGGTTATCTTTGTTAATAATTACTGTAAGATCTAAAAAACTAATCTGACTATTTATTGTATGTTATATGGTAAATTGAATGTGTTTTGATATGCTATTGAGGTAATTCAAGAACTAGCCAATTATGCAGTCGGTCCAACAAAAACAAAGAGGGTATCATCAACATATCTGTAATATTTTTTGATTCTCTTAAAGAAAGGATTTTTATCACTCAAAATTTTCATTTCTTCAAAATTGTTTAAGAACACTTGTCCAATGGCACGAGATTTTGTCTGATGCAAATGTTACCTACTAATTGTTTTTATAAATTAAGGTATGTCCCTTGTGTTTAAGGTGAATCCAGGGTTCGATTAGGGATAATTCAAGATAAGAGATAGCGCCACCAGTCACCACTGAGAATTTCACTTTCCTTCAACGATTACTGAAATAATATTGTTCAAATTACAAAAAGCAGATCCACAAGATATTGATTATTTTTTGCTTGATTTTTTGAGCCAAAAATATTGGCAATTAGAATTACAAGCGCAGAGAAAGTACGGCTGAAACTTTCAGCTCAGCCGCGGCGGCCGAGCTCACAACCGAATCCCTCATGTTCTGTCTCTCTCTCTCCCATTGCCGCAATGAGAATTACTTTCCGCCGTAGTTACGACTTTATTTTTGGGAATTTTGGGAAGATTTTTTTACTGAGTGTTCCTCAAGTATGTTGCTATATCCCCTGGATCCCCAATCGTGAATAAGTATTACGGTTTTTATTATTTCGACAAATATATACGGCTATTCTGAGCAGCGCGACGTGGTGGCCAAATCGCGAAGTTCCAAGCCTGGATTCACCTTAAAACTTTGTAACTACCCTGACAATGAAGCGTAGGCTTCGGAAAGCTTCGGTCTGCTATTCTAATTCATGCGATAAAATGTAAGTTTTTCCTATCAAATCTTGTACATTAATTCTAGCTCTTGGCTACCTGAATTTCAAAATACATCTCAGTGTGTCTATATTTAATGTTGTTGAATTTTCGCTTTGCGCCCTCTGCATCACTATACAGGGTGATCCAAAAGTCCCTTCCACCCCCTCTAACTTTTTACCTAATTGAGGTAAAGATTTGAAACTTGGGGGATATTCCTAGGTCAAAGGGAGCTACTTTTTGGTCCCCCTAAAATTTTCAGGGGGCCCCCCTTGGGGGGCAACGACCCCCAACTTTTAATTTTCAAATGGGAAGACCCCCTTTGTGATAGCTCGTTCGAAAGAGCATAAAAAAAGAAAACTTTTCGCGCAAACCCGAAGTCAATATCTCAAACCGTTTCAAAATGGCGGCCGGTTAAAGTTCAAAATGGCCGAAAATTCACACCGGTTATTTGTCGATGGATTTGCGCGAAAATCGGTATGTAGGGGTATTTTGACACGAGAAAAACGAATTTGACGTTAGATTTTCAAAAAAACCGAAATTTCCAAAATGGCCGCCGGTTAAAGTTCAAAATGACCAAAAATTGATTTTTTTAGAAATCTAAGTTCAAATTTGTTTGTCTTATGCCATAATACTCTCAAATTTCAATTTTTAGGCAAATCCATCAGCAAAAAACCGAGGTGACAATTTTCGGCCATTTAAAACTTTAACCGGCGGCCATTTTGGAAATTTCGGTTTTTTTGAAAATCTAACGTCAAATTCGTTTTTCTCGTGTCAAAATACCCCTACATACCGATTTTCGCGCAAATCCATCGACAAATAACCGGTGTGAATTTTCGGCCATTTTGAACTTTAACCGGCCGCCATTTTGAAACGGTTTGAGATATTGACTTCGGGTTTGCGCGAAAAGTTTTCTTTTTTTATGCTCTTTTGAACGAGCTATCACAAAAGGGGTCTTCCCATTTGAAAATTAAAAGTTGGGGGTCGTTGCCCCCCAAGGGGGGCCCCCCTGAAAATTTTAGGGGGGCCAAAAAGTAGCTCCCTTTGACCTAGGAATATCCCCCAAGTTTCAAATCTTTACCTCAATTAGGTAAAAAGTTAGAGGGGGTGGAAGGGACTTTTGGATCACCCTGTACGAGCAAAAGAGGAAGAAACGAAGGGTGTCACTACTGTGGTAGATGATGTGTAAAACCTGACATTTCAAAGCGCGATTTCTCTGTTAATATTGAATGTTAAGTTGCTGTTTGGACAGGTCTTATCATTTTTAGTTAATCTATAAGGATCAAGCATCAAAACACAATTCTGTGACTGGTGCAACAGACCCATTTAAAATATTCCATCAAAATGTTAAATACTTACGTAATGAAGGTTTATTCATAACAGATTTCTGTAAGGGAAATATTCATGTATCCTTAAAACTCCACAATTTTTTGTTCATATCATTATTTTGTTTTAGTTTTCGTAAGAGCGGTGGGTCCGCTACTTACATCAAGCAAATTTTATTTGATATGGCTGAAACCTGCAGCTGCATAGATGCATAATTAATAAAATCAGATTTTAAGGTAGTTGCTTGTTATATTCGACTCTCTTATCACAAAGGAATTTATTCAAAAACGGCATAAAAGTCCCTAGCATGGTTTTGAACCAATTTCTAGTATGTAATTGTACTGTATCGAATACGCCTTTCTGCAAAATTTCAGGGTCTAAAACGAATTCTTTTCCGTGCAGAAGTGTCTTAAATTGTAAAATTATAAAGTTTCATATCTATTGAACAAAGAAAGATTTTGAAGTGCGGATTGCGCAAAAATTCTTCTAAAAATGCGTTTTCCGGAGAGGTCATTAAATCGGAGGTTTTATTACTGTAAACTCGCAACGTTGCCATTTTTCATTTTTTTTATGTCATCGATTTCTTTTAAATCATAGCACATTGTCAAATGCCTCTTTTCTAAATCAAACAAAAAACTGTTCATTGTATTAGTCGTACTTTTCCATTTCTTTTGATGTATTATACCTCTCAGGGAAACGACGGGATCGGGAATTTGAGCTATTTAAGGATGACGCTCCGCCTGTACCGACAAAATCCCGGGCGAGGATCATTAGATAGCGTTGCGCAAACCGCACTTCAAAATATTTTTTCGTTTGATAGAGGTGGAACTTTACAGTTTCACACTTGGCAGCCCTGTTGCGTGGAAAAGAATTCGTTTTAGGCCTTGTAATTTTGCAGAAAGGCGTATTCAATACAGTAGAATAAAATACTAGAATTTGATTCAAAACCACGCCAGGGACCTTTTTTCTGTCTTGAATAAACGCCTTTCCTATTATCAGTACCTATAAATCTCTAAAAGCTGCGTTGAAAAATTTCGGGAATCCTTCAAAATGCTATCGGATCAAGTTCCCTTTAGATTGTTAACTGTTCGTTTTAGGCGACTTTAATACAAAGGACCCTATCTAAAATCAATCATTTCCAATCTCAGCCTGATCTTCTATGTACTTTCAGGGTTGATGGAGAACCATGATTTCCTCAAGATTGGCGCGTAGGAAGTTCATTATTTAATAATCGTTAATTTCGTTATATTTTTTTTGCATTTATTTAAAATTGTATTTTTATTTTTATTCATAGGCCTGGACCTCTGAAAGCTGATACTTCAGTCATTACAGGAAAATTTGTATACACGTTGGAGGTATTCCTGGCTCCTAACGAAGAGATCGAGTTGGTTCCGGAATCGAAATTACTCATTGTGACACCTTTCTCTCTCCATGTTTTTGGCAAAGATCATTGTTATCCACCTATAGAACCATTTCATGCGGAAAAAGGTGTAATCCTGACAGGCTTCATCACTCCGCCGCTCTCGGGTGTATCTGTTGTTTTTAAGGATGATGATAGCAATGTGATAAACAAGCTGGTGACGGAAGCAGACGGCCGCTATCAGTTTGGTCCTATCAAAGCTGGTCTGTCGTATAAGTTAGTTTCACTCTTTTCTAGCTTTAGTTTAAATCTATCTTGTTTCATTAGAAAAAGTGCAGTGTTCGAATCTCACTCCAAAATGCCAGACCTTTTTCGGATAGTCTAGGCAGTATTTAAGGGCCTTTCAGGATTTTTAAGGCAAACATGATTTTCCTGTTATAAAATACGTAGGATGTTTCAAAAGTTTCGGGACTGATGCTGTAATTCCTGAATTATGATATCTATTTAGCTGCTCATGATCTCATTCCGCTCAGCGTACATTATTACTGATCGTTTGTATGATTGAAGTGTTTCAAGATGTAAGACATAGAAGTGTTTCCAATGGAACCTCGAAGCTATAACTGGAGCCATATGCACCACTCCCCCCCCCCTGCCCTGAAAAATTACCAGTTAAATGTTTCTTTTTCTCTATTTTGTGCATCAAGAAATTAAAATCTCTCTCTGCAACATGTCTCGAGAGGCATTGCCTCACCGGTTGAATAGCAATTGTAGACGTATGAAAGTTGAAAATGTGGAGTACGTCAGTTGGGAACCTAATTTGCCATACCTAACATAAGGAATGAATTTTAGGTATCTCAACTCTGTGCACAAGGTGGTCCAGACCTACGGCTCTAGGCTTTTTTCTCGGTTATTCTAAGTTAGATGGAGTCGAGGTTCACAAGGGCGAATCGGGCATCGACTCCAAGATATCTGAATCTCATAGTGCCGAAGCACCATTGGAGCGCCCTGGAGACTAGAAAAGAGATCCCAACTTTAAAAATCAGAGTTCTCATCACAATTTTGAAATCATTTGGTAGCAGTTAGGAAGTTAAGAAAATTTTAAGCTAAAGCAAGTTAGTCCAAAATTAACGCAGCCCTTTCTGAAATATTGATCCAGGGGATGGGGGACCCTGAATAAAAAGCTTAATTACTAAATTGAAGCCTAGCAAAAAGGAAAAAAACCTCACTTTTTTGCGGGGCCCTATAGTAACCTGAAATGGCGCTGCTGGTGAAAGCAGGGAGTTGTTCCTCCCCGTGAGAACGTATTTAAAATCCTCGCGATGACAGCTACGGTGACAAAGCAGGGTGGTGCTCTATGATGAACAAAACGTTTCCTGTGGTTCCTTCCTTGTGAACTACCATCCACTAACAGAGTTATTCTCTTAAAACTGAATTTAGATTTTCGTGTAATTTTCCTCCAGGATCACAGCTGAAAAAGAGGGGTATGTCATAAGTGGTCCAGATAACGCAGGGGTCTTCAAAGCTCGGAAACTCGCTGAGGTTGCTGTTACAGCGATTGACAAAAGAACCACAGCTCCCTTACAGGTCAGTTCAATCCTCAATCTTCATCCCTTCTTTTTATGTTTTGTTAAAGGATAATGCTGCAATCGACAAAATAAAATCTTCTGTAGGTTAGGAATCATGTAGAGAGAAACGGCTTGGCCAAACAACATTTTAAACCAAAATATCATGAATAATATATTACTAGGTGCAAACTGCCTACAGTCTGCTGGTAAATTACAGAATTTACCAATTATTTTACTCACTAAGTTTTATTGCATTTATGTTCACAGTATCTCAGTAACTTTAGGATGTGATTATTTGTCAGTGCGCTGCTGACGGAGAGTATGTACATTATTTTCCTTACTGCATAGATCATATTAGTTGGCTGTAGATACGCCACCCATCATAACGTTTTTGAAAATAACAAGAAGGAAGTCATCATTTATTCCGCCTTCAGGTTCTTTACTACCCAATCCAGATCTCTTAATTTTGAGGTGGACTAGCCAAGCTGCCAATGAACAGACTGTTTTGTCTATTATTCCATGAATTTGTGTGAGAGTATAAAAATCTATGAGTGCCTTTTGATAAGTAACCGTGGGAAAGTTGTTGCCCTTGAGCACATGTTAGAGATGTTATGTCTCCACTTACGCTGTCTACTGCGTCCAACCGTTTCATAGAATAATAGCTACCAGAAAGGTAATTGGCAGATTCTCCTGTATGATCTCGTACAGTCACATTTTTGAAGCGGACTCGAGGAGGTTGAAATGAAGACGATAATGGCGGAGCCGCAATCCTCCGTTGCCAGAACCGTGAACTCGTGAAAATTTTCTGATTTTGAATGCTTCATGTTTCTAAAAATTTGGTAACATTGTATTCATAATGCTTTCTTACAGTGTCACCAGATTGTGAAAGGAATCTCTGAATTCTAATTCCCTTTTTTTCTGCATCATTTGGCAGCTTGAAGCCCTAATCCAAGTAGAATCAACCAAGACAATTCAATCCTCAAAGGATTGCGTCCTGCCAGTTTTTTTTTTTTTTTTTTTTTTTTTTTTTTTTGTAGAAATCTACTGCCCTGTATTGAAGTTTTGGAATGTATCCAAGTCTTAATCCAAGTGAACTAGTAAATGGAATTGGAATGTGATCTGCCTTGATTTATGTGGTTTTCCAACCATTTGGTGTTAATTATCATAAGAGCCTGCGCTCTTCGAATCTTTGAATTATGAGCTAGGTTCTATACTGCTGCGAAAAGCTCTCTTAGACCTGCAGGAGGAACAGTCAGTTTGCCCTCAATCAGCTGGGAATGTTTGGGGGCGGGGGGGCTTCAGGGCAGGGGTTTAGAATTTGGAACCAAACCAGTGGGCGCGCTGCTGAACATCGAGAAAGCTTTGGTTCCCTTCCCACGGGGGAGGGGTGTCCCTATTGATTACGCTGAACGGGACCTCTGGTGGGTTGGAGACAGGTTGGAGACAGTAGTTGTCTCAACTAGATTTTATCCCCCAATATTAAGCAATTGAAAAATAAAAAGAAAACTATTGAATTGTTTGAATGACTCGGCAACACTTTGTACTAGAGTTCACCGTTTGTTTTTACTTCAAATATCCGAGCTTCAGGACGAATGTCCAGGCTTAACCTCTATGGGCTCTGTATTGATGACCAATTTAATGAAGCATCAGTGTTTAAACTTTTGTTTCAGCCACCTTTGTGGTTGATCCTCGCCAGGGAAATTCTTAGAAAGAAATATACAATGGGTCTGTTGCACGCGTAAATTCACTCGAAAATCACGTTGGACACTTCAACAAAGTCTGAAATCTACTCTTTAACGCGCTATCTGCGTAGTTTGTAACGCGCTTTTTCAACTTTACCGCGCATGCGGGCAGTTTTTCTTGGTGGCCGGCAGTCAGGTTTGCCTGGAAAGAGACCTAATCTGAGGAAACAAACAATGTTGCGTAGTATTTCAATTGGTGTTGGATAGTGGTGTCATGTCATCATGACGTCACTACCCATCGCCTCTCACCGATGGTCATCATCCATCAACGAGGCATTCGCCATTCTTGCTCTTGCTTGCTTGTGATCATCATATGTATTTGTGACTGTTGAATATTTGCATTTCTTGCATTTCTTAATAAAATGCCTTAGTCTCAACCCAGTGTTATGTTCTTGTGTGCAACCCACCGATCATCTTAAATCATGGCGACGAGGATAAAACGACGAAAGAAGAAGGATTCCAGCCGAGCAGCGGGATAAAGACGGCGACACGGCGGCTCGACCACGCAAAACGGTGGCCTAAAATGGTATAGTGCGGCCAAGTTTTTTAATGTCGTGTTCGTAGCACCAATTCTTCTTTTAAATTTTAGAATATCGATTCAGTTCGAAATGTTTTAATTAATTTTAACGCGTTCGGTCTTCGAACATTACCTAAGTTCCTCGCTAATCTTGGATCAAGTGCTTATTTCAATGTCGTGTTCGTGACCAAATGTCGTGGAATTTTCTTCAAATGTGTTAAGGTCCTCCTCAGTTCCTCGCCAATCGCGGAACTCTAGATAATTAAATTATTCCTCGCTAATCGTGGAATTTCTATTGCTCCTTGCAATTCTTTACGTGTTTATCGTGATGGAGTTTCTCATCAAGCCATCACCTCTTGAGGTGAACGAAGACATCCTAAAGAACTGGGAAAAGTTCAAGAGGCAGTGGACCAACTACAGTGTGGGAGCTGAAATCAGTAAGAAGGACGCAGCAGTTCAAAAAGCGATCTTTTTGAACCTAATCGGCACTGAAGCAGAGGAGCTCATCAATTCTCTGGATCTGGCTGATGACATAGCTGACACTGTAGCAAAACTCACTTCAGCTCTTGATGACTATGTCAAACCCAAATCAAACGAAGTGTTTTCGAGGCACCAGTTTTTTACAAGAGTTCAAAAAGAAGGTGAAGATTTCGAAACTTTTCCTCTCGCTCTTAAAAAACTGTCGGAACATTGCAATTTCAAAGATCTCCAAATGTCACTCATTCGGGATCGAATCATTATCGGTATTAATAATCAAATTCTTCGCGAACGGTTGCAAGGTGAAGACTATGAATTCGAAAAATTTGTTAAATTGTGTCGTCCGGTAAACTCCAAGCCAATGAAATGGCCAGTGACGCGTCGAAGACTACTGCTATCGATTGGGTCAACAATCGTAGAAGTCAGCAAAACATCTCAACAACAACGCCGACTCCAAGTGGTCATCAACAACAACTTTCACAGTCACCAACCAAGCAATTCAACTGCCGGAATTGTGGGTACAAGCATAAAATTCGCCAGTGTCCAGCGTACGGTCAAAAGTGCACCTTGTGTCAGCGGCTAAATCATTTTCCAAACAAATGCCGGTCCAAACCTAAAAGTTCAGGTGGCTCTAAACCTACTCCTAAAACGGCTGATCAAGTTAACTTACAAAATCAGTGTGGTCATTGTTCATCCATTAGTGATCCGGGTCAGCTTGAAAATGTTCAAGCCAAATCGTGCGGTTGTTCGGAAGATATTAATGCTAGTGACTACCTGTATATTTCTGAAATCTCAATGATACAACCGTATCAGTCACCACTAGTCAATAACTTTCATCTCCTCAGTGCGAAAGTGAATGAGTCGAACAGTTCGTCACAATCTGAAGAAGTTAATGTTCGTATCGGTCCTGCTACCCCTGATGAAATCAACATCCATAGTGTAACAACTCCTGATAGATGCTGGATGGAAAACATCATTGTCAATGGCCAAACTGTGAACTTCAAATTGGACACCAGAGCTGAGGTCAACATTCTGCCACGCTGCATTTTTGATCAAGTCAAAAACTCTTCAACCGTCCTCCTACAAAGCAAAGCGATGGTTCTGGGCTATGGTGGTGCTCCTATCGACTCCTGTGGACATGCCGTTCTAGATTTTAGACTGCCAAATCAGAGTCTTGTCCGTAAGCTTTCATTTACAATTACTAATGTAGGGAAAACTCCCCTGTAAGGTTTAAAGTCATGTGTTTGGTTAGGTCTAGTCACTAGAAATTTTGTGCATGATATTGAAAATTTCAAATCCAAAGAACAAGTTATTGCTAACAACCAGGATACATTCAAAGGTCTTGGCACATTCCCGGATAAATGCGCCATTAAAATAGATCCACAAGCGATTCCCGTTGTAGACCCTCCAAGACGTCTTCCGGTACGCCTACTGGAAAAACTAAAGCGCAAACTAACGGAGTTAGTTTTGTTTGATATTATTTCGCCAGACACTGAAAATGTTGAATGGTTCTGCAATCTTATTATTGTGGAGGAAAATGGTAAAATCAGAATATGTTTAGACCTCAAAAACTTAAACAAAGTAATCAAGCGTGAATTTTATTTAATTCCAACCTTAGAGGAGATCAAACCGAAACTAGTCAATAAGAAAATATTTTTTGTACTTGATATTAAAGACGGATTTTGGCACTGTCAGCTTACGCCTGAAGCATCCAACTTATGTGGCTTCCATACACCCTTTGGTAGTTTTAAATTTCTACGCATGCCCTTTGGCCTTGTCAACGCCCCAGAAGTGTTCCAAAAACTTCTGTACTAAATACTTTGGGGACATACCAAATGTAGTTATTTACTTTGATGATATTCTAATTTACGGAGAAACTGACAGAGAACATGATATTGCACTCGCGAAAGTACTGAGCAGAGCATGCAAGTACAACATCATGTTTCATTGTAACAAATTTCAGTTCAGGCAAAAAGAAGTACGGTATATGGGTCACATAATTAGTGCTGATGGTATACGTCCCGATAATGATTATAGCCAAGCAATCTTCGATCTTAGAATCCCTAAAACACGTTGAGTACTGCAAAGTGTAATAGGAACTATAAATTACATTAGAGACTATGTTCCAAACATGGCTGATCTCATAGAACCATTCAGACCCCTTCTGAAGAAACAAACAAAATTTGTTAGGACAGAAAAACATACTGAGCATTTCAAAATAGTTAAAAAAAACTATCTGTGAAATTACAAGCTTGCAAAATTTTGACCTGTCCAAAGAAATTA